AGTTTAAGCGCCTCTGTGACGAGACTAATGTTACTGGCCCAGTGTGGCGGGGGTGCGGGGGGGGGGCCTAAAGCTGTGTATGGGGCCCCGAAATTTCGGATGGCTGCCCTGGGAGTGAATGACTAACGGCTGAGGAACTCAGCTCATCATGTGTCTCCACGCCAGGCTCAGGAAAACTGTCAGGGGTGCACAGAATGGTGTGTGTCAGTATTCTACGTCTGGGGGAGAGAGCGACACAGCAGGCAATGTCGGCAGTCCGCTACGCGTTTCGAGGGGTTCCCTCTTCATCAAGCCTCAGGGTAGTAAAGACCCGGGAAGCCGGTCCTCTTTTTAAAAGTAACAGGGGGAGGAGTAAACATTCGTAGCCCGGTGATAGGCTGCTGCTCCAAGATGGGGATGGGCTTATAACCTGAGTTCATCCAGGGGACAAACTGTCGGCATATTATCGGGCAGGATTACGGCACCTGTTATAAGGTACTGCCAGATCGAGACAGTTGGGATGGACATACATGTAGGGATAGTATAGCCTTTCTTATTAGCATAACGTGTTTCTCGTAGCCTCCATGGGATATTTTGCCCAGACAGTACGGACATATTATGTGTTAGTTAAAAATTCCTTATTTTAAAAATATATCTTATTTAAATGTCAATATATGATAAAATTACAACACAAACCACAAAGATATAGATACAATTAAAAATGGAGTATCTCTAAAAATAAGAGAGATCCAAGTAAATGAAAATCTAAAAAGGTGTTGTATCCACCTATATATGATAGAGGGTGGAAAAAGCGCCCTTCTGAATAGGGCCTTAGGGATGTACGCTTAGAGGGTTAAACAATTAAGAAACAAGCGAATAGTAAAAAGCTGGGCCATTCTCAATAGGTGAACGCTTGACTAACTTTGGGTAGAATTGCAGCTTGTCTACTACCCACGCATTTCCATTAGCCCATGACTATGACATACTGTAGATATGTATTGGTGGATTATGGGACTTGTATGGGAAATGTAATATAGGGACCCTGATCCTAAGCAGTAGAGTCCCTAGTCTAAATGTAGTGGTTCTACTAATCTGTAGCCAGCCTGAGCATAACTTGATAGTCCTGCTTTTGTTAGGTTTTTACTAAGCTCAGTTGTATTGTTTGCTTCTGCCTGCTGTTGGGGAGCGTCCCTGGTAATAGTATCAGACAGAGGCGGCTCTTTAATTAGGCGAGTTAGGCGCTCGCCTAAAGCCTCACACTCATGGCTGCCGAACTTGCCTCTACAGCTTCACCTCATCTAACAGTGGCGGATCCAGAGAAATTGCTGCTCCTTCCCAGGGGCGAACTGAGTATTTGGGCACTGCCCGAAGGACCGCGGCTTCCCTCTAGTACTGACGGAACTAAGGGGACCCTGGCATTCCGCCACTTGCTTATTCCTGCCGTCCAGGCCGCAGTCCCTGCATAGGGAGAGAAAGGAGAGAGCCTGCCCGGAGTGATGTGACATGCATAAGTAGAGGCTCCGCTAATGCCGCAGCCCCTGCAGCAGCCAGCCAGCGATGGCACAGGACTCTCCTGTCCTTCTTCCTGGGAGGAGGTCTGTGTGTTGCAAGATGCCTGGCCGAGGCCTCAGCATGTGGCAGATGCAAGGGACTAAAGGTGCCCATACACTGTACGATTCTCGCACGAGAATCGCGGGAAATCCCGCGATCGTACGAGAATCGTACAGTGTATGTAAGGCGTGCGACCGTTTCTACTGTACGGTCGCACGTCTTTTGTCGAACCAGCATGCTCGAAAACCCGCCGAGAATCGTATGATTGTCGGCGGGTTTCTAGCCTGCTCGTTCGATAGCTGTGGAGCGGGCCGGTGTGCGCAGATCGTACGAGCGGGCCGGTGTCCAAGGTGGGCAGATCGTACGAGCTTTCAATAAGCATACGACCATCGCAAGACAAAAGTCTTGCGATGGTCGTAAGGTGTATGGGCACCTTAAGAGGCCTAAACTGTTACTGAGAGGAAACCTGATGGAAGCTGGGCTGGAGGAAGAATCTGTTTACTGAGGAGTGTCAAAGAGGAGCTGGTGAGAGCTTCAGTCTGTAAGGGATCCCTCGCCCTATATTCAGATATGACACAGAAGTGACAAATAAGTGTAAATAAACTACAAACATTCATACCAATGTGATCTTAGAGAACACCAATCCATGGAGACAGAGGTTATTTGCAAGCCAGGACATGAATTGGGGCTGGATAAAGTGCCGAGCACACACTATGGCCATCGGCTATATATGTTAAAGACACTATTAACTTTGCTGAGTCGCTCACATATTTGGCTTAGATATTTGATGCAATCTGAATATAATGATGGGAAAATGATGTTATAATGAGGCGAGATGGGAAGTTGTCTAGCATTTGATAGGTGTTCTGTATGTTCACATTGGTCTAAAGCTTTGTGGTCACTTATATGTGACAATTTGCCTGATTAAGGGACCCCACAAGGTTCCAAATGTTGCTTCTTGTACGTTCTGAAACGAACGGCAGTGCAGGTATTACTCTGGAATGAAGAATTATTAGCGTGCTGGTGACGTACTTTCACATATTATATGCAGCACCATCAGCACATTACTAAAGCACAGGAGAGTGGGGTATACCGCTTAGGTGTGCGGTGGGGATATCCATAATGCTAGGAACAGAACAGGACATGTCAAACCGTGAGAGTTTTTAGCCAGGCTTCTGGAGAAGGGCAAATGGCCTACAGCAGGGGTAGACAACACCACAACAGCTGTGGTGAAACTATACATCCCATCATGCATCTGCCTCTGGGAGTCATGTCTGTTGCTGTGAGAGTCATGCAATGCCTCATGGAACTTGTAGTTCCACAATAGCTGGAGTGCTGAGGTTGCCTGCCACTGGCCTAGGGGTATGGCCAGGCCCGGATTCCCCACTAGGCCACTGAGGCCCGGCCTCGGGGCGGCAGGGCGCAGAGGGGCGGCAGCGGTGTCCTTGTGAGAAAGTTGCAGGCGCCGGGCGGTAAGTTGCCCCCTCTACATTTAGTCCTGCTTTGCACAAGCAGGACTAAATGTAGAGTGAGGCAGCCGATTGTTCCATTTGTTCGATGTCGCCGAGATCACATGTAAACAGTCTGCAGCCTCCTCCCCTCCCCCCTGCACTTACCTCTCTCCTCGGGTTCCGTCCTCCGGGCTCCGCCGCCGAGTCCGTCTCCTCACTGCAGTGAGCAGCAGGGTTAAAGGTAACCCTGCCGCTCGGTGTAGACAGTGAGAGTGGAGAGCTGTGCTCTTTCTCCCTCACCTGTCACAGGAGCTCTAGCACAGTGCTGTGCTAGAACTCCTGTATTGGAGGTGACAGGGTCAAAAAGAGAACCTGTCACCTCCAATTGCTATCACACAGGGCATTGTTTTCATCTGTGTGATAGCAATAAAGTTAGTGTCACGTACCTTAGATGGAGCCTGAGATGACGAGGGCGGCCTCTCTTGCTGCTCCAGTCCAAACACCTCTGGATAGTAGGCACAGGTGCAGTCTGGAAGGTGCAACGGCAAAAAAACAGGGTGATATTCATAGTTTGCGAAAAAAGGGGACTGCCGGGTGGCAGAATGAGTAGAGTTGTTATAAGAAAACTCAGCCATTGGAAGAAGGGCAACCCAATCATCCTGAGAAAATGATGAAAAGCAACGGAGGTACTGCTCAAGCGTCTGATTGGTCCGCTCCGTCTGGCCATTCGTCTGTGGATGATAGGCCGAGGAGAGGCATAATAATCTCCTCTGGATGCGTCCTCTTGGCTCCACCACCGAGTCCGTCTCCTCACTGCAGTGAGCGACAGGGTTAAAGGTGTAAAGGTTAAAGGTGTATCGCGGAACCTGGCCTTGGGGCAGCAGGGAGAGTAAATCCGGCCCTGGGTATGGCTTTAACATGAATTCGTTTTAGTACATTATTATTATATAGAATTTATATAGCGACAACAGTTGGTGCAGCGCCTTACAATATAGGGAAGACATTACAATATAACATAGTACATACTGCAGCCCCCCTGACTGCATAGGCAATTTTATTCCTGGTGATTCAAAGGTGCCTTTAACAAGCAAAAGATTCTCTGCACCAGACATTAGAATCCACTGGGACACATGGTTGGCATGCAGCCAATGGTGGTGTCCCAGTAATGATGAACATGCTCCGCATGTCACCTTATATTGCCGATGTTCTGTCGAGAATGCCGACCCAGTAGAAATTGCAGACCTCACCATCTGCGCTTGCGCACATAGCGACAGAACGCCGATACTAAGCCCCTCCCACCCTACTCCTATCACTCAGTGAGCCCGCCCCCAGCCAATCGCCAACCTTCTGCATCATATGGCCGCGCCCAGCATTGCTCGAAATCGCGCTGTTATTGGTGGAGTGTGTTTGACAGTTACAGTTGGCGTCTGCGGCTGTGCCGCGTTCTGTTACTATGGCCACACACACACTTCCGGGTTTGGATTTCCGGCCGTTGCATTCTGTCACCAGCTGCTGACGCCGCCAACTTTGAAGGTGAGTGTATTAAGAGCTGTGGTTGTCACATAGAGAGAGCCGTGCTGTTTTGGCATCGGTGCTCCCTCCTCTAGAGCATGGCTGGCTTTCATATATAGGAAGCCTCGCTGCTCCCTTGCTTGCTCATTGTAATTAAAGAGGATGCCAGATTGACATCTGTTGCTGTAGTTGAAGGGACACTTTTTGTCTTGAAGCTGTCCTATGTAATAAAGGTGTAGAATGCCATTGTCCTCATCATATAGGGGTTCAGAAATCATCACAGGATCTGTTTTCAGTACTACATGTATTGATGTCTGTACCCATGTAGAGATCTGCAATTGTTACAAACCATGATAACAAGTCCCATCCCCTGATCTAGCCCCCTGATGCAGCATGGAGGGTGCGGTGAAACTCAGGTGTTGGCCCAATGTCATTGTCAGCCCCCCGGTCGCATTTAATCTGGAGTTTTCATCATACGAAGTACACTATGAAGACTCTGGATGGTCCCAAGACCACATTGACACCCTGTGATATTGTTTCTAGCAACAACTGCACAGTGACGTGCATGCACAAGTGGTTTATATGCCTTTTTGAATGTGGATTACTCTGTCTTTTGGAGATGATTGCCTTCTATTAAAGGGTTAGTTCATCTTTTCATAAAAATGAGAAAGGTGAACTAACTCACAACAATCCCCCTCCCCCCCCCCCC